CTCCCCCTCCCCCCCGTGGACCCCTGAAGGCACAAAGCCTTTTTCCCCTTCAGTTCACGGTGGTTTGCCTGGCCTGCCTCTCACGGGCCCCCAAGACGAGCTGGCTGGGGGATTCTGGGAGTTGAAGTCCACAGGACTTAAACTCACCAAGGTTGAGAAACACTGATATAGATGTTTCATAACCCAGCTAGGTAACGGCTTCAGTGCTAGAAGTGTTAAAGAGGGGCAAAGCTCCCTCCCTTCCAGCACTGATGATGTTCCCTAGTTGGGTGATGAAACGCCTGCTTGAAAACAGCCCAGCTCTGGGTTTGCTAGAACTCCATCCCGAAAATGCAGCAGATTGAAGAGGGAGATATGCAAACACAACAACGGAGAGAGGGAAAGGGAGAGGGGAGGAGAGGAGGAAGGAAAAGGGGAGGAAGAAGTGGAGGGGGGGTAAGAGTAGGAGAGGAAGGGGAAGGAGAGAAGGAGGAGGAGAGAAGAAGGGAGGGAAGGAGAAAAGGGGGAGGAGGGGAAAAGCACTGCTGTTGTAAAATAAGTTTATGGGACGTAGAAAAGCAATCTTGATTATATCGTTAATTGCAGGGGAAGAAAAAACATTATAAATGTTAAAAGATAATACACGTTATTAATAACAGTTATGAGATTGTATATTTGTGAATGTACATATGAGAAATAAAAATAATAAAGGTTCCCCCCCCCTTCCCTTGGACTTTTTCAGCTGAATGAGCTCGGAGGGTTATTGGGGTATAATCGGGGCACCCTAAGTTCCACTCTAAAGGCCTAGAGGGGGGCGAATGCCAAAGGCAGCCGGAAGCTGTGGGTCGGGACGGGGGAACACGGAGGCGGCAGGTGCTGCCCCTGGCTGACCGGCTCTGCCCGGGAGAGCCAGCCCTTGGGCAAGGGGGCAGCCGTGCCAGGGAGCAAGGGAGCCTCTGGCAGCTTCACCCCCTCCTCTTTCCCTCCATTTCCACAGCAACCAGGACGACTACCAGCTGGTGCGGAAACTCGGTCGTGGCAAATACAGCGAAGTCTTTGAAGCCATCAACATCACCAACAACGAGAAAGTGGTGGTGAAGATCCTGAAGGTGTGTCAGTCGGCCTCTTCCCGCTTGGCCATTGAGGGGGGGGGTCTTCTGGCGCGGAACGTCCCTCCTTCGAGTCACCCTCACCCTCACCCTCCCCCACCCACCCCTTCCAGTGGGGCTGATCATAACAGAACAGGGTAACAAGAATTGGAAGGGGCCTCGGAGGTCTTCTAGTCTAACCCCCTGATCAAGCAGGAGACCCCCTACCATTCCAGGCCACTGAGGGTCCAGTCTCTTTTTAAAAACTTCCCCTGTTGGAGCATTCACAACTTGGAAAAGTTTTTAAGCAACCGATTGAGCAACCGGAAGTTACCGGATGCCAGCAAAAGCTTTCAACCGGCCTGGGGAATCTGCTGCTGACTGGGAGCCCCCCATCCCCTCCCCCGTCGGCTGTATGTTATATAACATTAAAAAAAATTGTTTTGCATGGGGGTTGGAGGAGGGTTCGTTGCCCAGAGCCGCTTGGGGGCAGCCATGCAGATTTCCGATTAGAATGAATGTAGGAGGTGTTGCTATTTTAAACCGTTTTTTTTCCCCCCTCTTTTTTGTAAGCCGCCCGGAGTCCTTCGGGATTGGGCAGCATATAAATTTTATAAATAAATAAATTAATTAATTTGCTCGATAAATAAGGAGCTCTGCGATGCTTTGAGGCCTGTACGGTGTGTGTGTTTGTGTTTGTGTGTGTGTATGTGTTGCCTCTGACCAAGCCAGCTCTGCCTGGAGAGCTTCAGAGGAGCGCTGTGGGCGAGGAGGGGAGGCAGAGAAGCAGCCCACCCCATGAGTTCCTGGGCTGTCATGGCTGAATTCAGCTGCAGGCGGGGGGGCTGGGTGTGGGGTGGGGGGGCTGNCTCTCCTTCCTTCCTTCCTTCCTTCCTTCCCATTCTCTCCTTCCCTCCTTCCCATTCTCTCCTTCCTTCCTTCCTTCCTTCCTTCCTTCCTTCCTTCCTTCCTTCCTTCCTTCCTTCTTTCCTTCCCATTCTCTCCTTCCTGGAAATTCCAGGGCTGTCTTCTTTTGTAAGCAGTTGGCTTTATAAACATGTAGATCAGGGATTGCTGGGGGATTCTAGGAGTTGGTCCACAGGTCTTAAAAGTGCCGAGGTTGGACATCCCTGGTCTAGATTGACCTGGTCCTTTTATATCCTACCTGTGTACCTGAACGAAAAGAAGGACGAGGGGTGACATGATAGTCTTCCACGAGTTGAAGGGCTGCCACTAAAGAAGAGCCGGTCCACCTTTTCTCCAAAGCATCGGAAGGCAGGACAAGAAGCAAGAGATGGAAACTCATCAAGGGGAGAAGCAACCTGGAACTAAGGAGGAATTTCCTAACAATGAGGACAATTAACCAGTGGAACCTCTGGCCTCCAGGAGTTGTGGGTGCTGCATCCCTGGAAGCTTTTAAGAAGAGACCGGAGACCTATCTGTCTGGAATGGAATAGGATTTCCATCCTGAGCAGGGGGCTGGACTAGAAGAGGGACCCTCCAAGCAGAATGGCGTTCTGTTCATTCTGTCTCTAAGGTTCATGTCCACACAGCCTTCTGGATTGATCTAGCCCTATCCAGAAGAACCTTTAGGGCTCCTACAACCTTGTATTCTCCAACAGCTACTTGAGAGTGGGGCCTTCCATTTTTAAAATTGTTACCACAGCCACGTAGCCGTTTGTACAGAGCATCCGGGGTGTAAAAAAAAACAACCGTTTTGGGAAGAATATGAAAACTACAGAAATTATCCCTTTTCTTTTTCAGGAACGGGGCAATGCTATAACCGGATGCCTGGGTCCTCGGAACCGCCTCTGTTTCTGCCCCCCTTGTGCCGGATGGAATCTGGCCGCTGACGGCGCGGGAGCACCCCTGCCATACCTTCCGAGCACCGGGTGGCCAGCCTCGCACCCCTCCCTCCCCCCCCTCCCTCCCCTCCTGGAATGCTGTATGTGCCTTGCTCTGCCTCTCGCAGGACAGCGCCCGGTGGCATTGGGGCGACCCACTGAAGCAGGCACGCTCAAGGTACTCTTTGCCGCTGCTGCTGCTATGGGCTCCCTTGAGGTCACATGTCTTTTCTCCGGGAAATCTGGGGACCCGCGTTTGGGTTTGTACAGGTAGTCCTCAACATATGGCCGCAGTTGAGCCCCAAATTTACACGAGGCATTTGAGGGAGATGGTGGAGGTGGCGGCTTTCCTGTTTAATGACGCCGAGTGTGGACGGAGCCCATCAAGGGCCTTGTCTCATTGCGTCTCATCAGGGAAGGGGCTGTTATTGTTTTACTCTCTTTATACAGGTAGTCCTCGACCTACAACCACAATTGTGTGCAAAGTTTCTTTTTTTAAAAAAATGTAAATGTGTTTTTATTTTCCATTTTCATTTTTGTACAGTCACATATATACTGTGCAAATTTTGTGTGCAAAATTTCTGTTGTTAAACGAGACAGTTCTTGACT